AGATCACTTGGGCCTTTGCACCATTTCCTATATGCAGAATCGCCCTTCCTTCCTCAGCCTAGTCAATTCCAGGTCCTTCCAAACTCAGCACCCGGAGACTGTGAGAATTCATTTAAAATGGGTCAGAAAGGAGGCCAATCTCAAAATAAATATATTATGATCAGCAACTTTCTTATGTTCCTGTCATAACCAGTTAGACGTTGTGAAAAGATGGGTGAAAAGATTCTGTTCAAGGTAGACACATAAAATACCAAAGATTATGCTAAAGAAACAACTATAGGAACAAAATGACAAAATTTACAAAGTGACATAAATTCATGAATAAATGAAAGTCACATTGTGTCCTAGATGGAAACATTCCATATTGTGAAGACATATTATCTCCCTCGAAATGATTTCTAAAGGCAGTTAAATAAAAATTCCAAAAGGTTTTTAAAATTTTACTTTCCCTTTGGAACCAGCTTTAAAAATTCTAAAATATTTTTTTCAGAAGACTCTCTTTCCAAAATAGCCAGGAGAATTTTGAAAAAGAAGAATCAGGAGTCAGAAAGATCCTTGCCCTCCTAAACATTACAGAACTAAATAATGTTTGAGTGAGGCTGGTGCAAAAGTAAATTGCTACTTAGAAGAGAAGTGTTAAAATGACCTAACACCATCTTAGAATTTGGTATATAGCATATGGTCAGCGGGAGAAAGGGTGGGTCATTAAGTAGTGCTGTGATAACTGGCTAATCATTTGGGGAAAAAATTAAGTTACAAACTTACTTTACACCTTCCACCAAAATTAATTTCAAATGAACTAAAGATATAAATATAAATAGTGAAATAGAGGTGCTCTCAGGAGTTGGATTTAAAAAACCCTTGGTAGTTATGGTACTGTAAATCAAATCTATAAAGAAAAATGACAGATTTGGTTACATAAAATTTTTTAAAACTTGTTTTAAAACTTCAACAAAACTGGGTAAAACCCAAAAGAAGAAATGCAGCATATGGTAAAGATAAGAGGATGCCACTGTCTTTTATATATAAACAGCTATTACAAATTAAGGAAAAGAGAAACTTTAGAGAGAAAAAAACAAAGAATATACACAGATTAAAAAAAAAAAACACGAAACACGAATGACTAACACATAAAGAAAAAACTAAGGAATAACTAATGGTATGCAAATTACAATGACAAAAGATTCTTTTTTTCCTGCCCGAATTGACAATGAATAAAAAGACCAGCAAGATGCACTACTGTTGAGTGTGCTCGTTGACACAACCTATCCTGAGGGCTATTTGACAAGTAGCTATCAAATGCCTTAAAAAAAAAAAAAAAGCCTCTGACCAATCAATCTTATTTCTAGGAATTTGTCCTTAGGAAATAATTAGGCAAACTCACAAAGAATGCTCATTGTAGTAATGTTTATTGTAGCAAAAATTGGAAACAAACAAAATACCTCTCAAGGGAAAATTGGCTAAATAAAGGTACATTCATACATGGAAATAGTAAGCAATTTTAAAAGGTTATGTAGATACATTGATTAATATGAAAAATGTTTATCAGGTTTGTATGTAAAAATGTAAGTAACAAAAAGCAGATTTTTGTGAGGGTACATACACAGGAAAAAAAATTCCCACTATACTTTGCTGAACTGTCTAAAATGTTTTATAATGTTTTATCAGAACAAGCAATAATAATGTTTCCACTTGGGAAACTTAACGTCTCACCTCAGGGATCCCTTTCTTCAGGAAGTCTCCCTTGATCCTCCTTTCCCCTCTCCCACCTCAACCCTGTTTCTCACTGTGAGGTCACTGGTGGGTGACTGTATCCCTAGTTGGTCAACGAGCTCTGTAAGGGACCATCGCAGTTGATTCATCTTCAGGTCTCAGGGTCTGGCACTTACTAGGTGTTCAATATGAATGAAATCAATGAAAGACCCCTTCTCTCGTGTTTCCGTGAATGATCTATCAATTGAATGGTATCGAAGCCCAATCGAAAGCCTCTAGATCTGATCCTACCCGACTGGAAATGAAGATGAGAAGGAAAATGCCTGGGTGGAAGTGGGATCTAAGTTCCCATCTTCCTCGACGCTCTGCAGCACAGTGACCCCGGACAAGTTACGTCGCCTCGCTGAACCTCGGAGGACTTGTCTCTAAAACGTGGAACATCACATCTCCCCAAGGACTGGGTACGAAGCAACACAACCCACGCCAAGCGTTTAGCAGGCTAGTGGTACACATTAGGCGCTTAAAAATAGAAGCAAATAGTTGGGCAATGAACATTACTCTCAGCGCACTGGTCCTGGGCTCCGACGCACCCCACCAGAAGGCTGTGGAGACCGGAAGCCTGGCGACACTGGGCGGTCGCCGCTCCCGCACGCGTCCTGCAGACTCCCGGGCTTGATCCAAAGGAGCGCTGCGGCCCGGCGCAGGGGCTTCGCGTCGGGGGCTCCCGCCGGGCTCTCAGCTCGGATGCCCTCACTCCCCCGCCTTCGGGTGACTCCCTGGCCCACTTCCTCGCTGAGGAGTCAAAGGCCCGAGGGGAGAGGCTGAGCTCCAGCAGGTCCCGCGGGCCCCAGAGGGTGAGGGTGAGAGGTGAGGAGAAGGGCCATCTGTCCGCCGCGCCCAGCCTAAGGCCGCGCCTGAAACTGTGTACAACTTGGGCCTTGGGTAGGGGTCTCCCCTGGTACCCTCGGGTTCGAATTTTCCTCTATCCCGTACTGCTTGTGAGATGGGGGACCAGTCATCTCACCTGAGTCTGTTTTCTCACCTGTCAAGTGGAATAATTGGACTTGCCTCGCAGAATGTGGCGCGACTTAAGACCCTGTAGGGAAAGCGCGAGGCGCAGGGCCCCTCGCAGGAGAGCGCTGAGAAGTCAAGCGCCAGGATGGCAGAGGTTCTTCCTGGCTGCAGAACTGTGCCTGGGTCCCTGGCCCTGGTCTAGGCCGGATCCGTGACTTTGACCCCGTAAAAGGGCCATTTTAGCGGGCTCGGGGGCGGGGACAGCAAACCAGGCTGCGCTTCTCTGTCCACCCAGAGGTGCACGAGGCTGAGAGTCTTAATTAACGTGGCTCCAGAGTTGATCCGGAGGAAAATGTTGTCGTGGTCTGTGTGTGTACAGACGTGAGTGTATCCACACGCGTGCTCGTGCGTCTGTGGTTGTGCGGGAAACAGCGTTATGGGTCGGCCTGCGTAGACAGACTCCTTCTCCCAAAGGCACCTTCCGCCTTTTCTCCGCGCCCCATTCCCGGCAAAGAGTTTCAGCCAAACTAACGGAATCTGCAGCGGCCAGGAGAGGGCTGGGGACGGGAGGGGCGATTCCGTCCCGGAGCCACTGGTTTGGGGATAATTACTTTTAATGTCAGAAAGATTTAGTTTAATATCATCTCTATTAGGCTGCCGGGAGGGTAATTAAACGCGACGCGCCGCAGCCGGCAAACAGATGGCGTCTGCTTGCTACGAGGCCGCGGGCAAACAGCGCAAAAGTCAATGCCTCTCGGGTCCCCCCATCAGCGCCCCCGGCCCTGTTCCTACTCAGCGCCGCTGTGCTGCACCTCCAACCGCCTCCGCACCTTCAGCCCCCAACTCCAGCCTCACCCTGGGTCTCCACCCGGGCCATCTCTTTGGACCCCACCCTTGCCCGGGTTGGGGTAGGGGAGTTGGGGACCGCAGCGAACACGGGTGGAGGTGCGTTTTCGTGGTTGGGAGAGCCCATCCGGGACCGTCAGGCGCCCACACAGCAAATGATTCTGAACTAAGAGGAGATGCGTGAGGGAGTGTGTGCGTGTGTGTGTGTGTGAGAGAGATCGTGTGGGGATGAGCTTTCTGCCCTCTAGCCACCTCATTTGTTCCGGTGGTCTGGGTTTGTCTGCCCAGGGTCCAACTTCAGGGCCCTAGAATAGGGCTGGGTCCAGGGACAAGCGAAGGCACACTTGTGTGAGCATCTGCTCAGGTCTAAGTGTCCTGTCACTGACCAGGGAGTCTGTGGGCGTCTGAGTGGGAGGTCAAGTACTAAGTGGAAATCCTAGGATGAGGGCATGATGATGAGAGCCCTGTGAATTCAGTCAGACTTTCTGAAAGGGTCCTCTTGGGTGGGAAGGCAGCGAAAGAAGTGAGTGCACCCCGCAGGTGGTCACTGCATGCAGGTGTGAGCATGTAGCCAAGATTGATGCAGAATGACGTCCCACAGGTAGGCTGTGTGTCCAGGTGTGAAGCCACACTCTGGTGTAGGAGGTAGACCCTGCTGCCTCAGTCTGGGCATGCTTTTTCCACCACTGGCAGCTGTGGGGCCACCTCTTCTCGTCTGCACCCCTTGGGGACCTTGGTCCAAATCCGAACTAACCCCAGAGTGGCCTGTGGACGTATGAATGCAGTGACCTCCACCCAGAGTGGTTACTCTGCCTCCTTCCATCCATGACACACACTGACTCACAGGAGCACCCCAACCTCCCAACCTCGGGTGCACCAGAAGACAGGTTGTATGTAGGTCCAGGACCTGTTGAGCAAGGAAAGAGAAGCCTGCTCTAGGAGTGGACAGATTCCCTCTGATTGGGCTAGGTTCCAGGAAGAGTCCTCTCTCCCTTCGAAGGAAATAAGGTTCCTCACACACTTGAGGAAGAGCTTGGGATTCTCAAGTCCTTGTGGCTGAACACTTGGCTCACCCCAGGTTCAATCGGTTGAAGTCGTGGAATCCCACAGTGGTCTGGCCTCAAGTGAGAAGAGGAGTGCCTGGGTCACCACCCTCCAAAAGCTAGACATATTCCTATTGTATAATTTGTTTGGGGTTTAAAACGATTCTGGAAAACTTTGCCCAGTGTAGCTCTGGGAGAAGGCGCCCAGCACCAGGCAGGATCCAGCCGCAGCCCTCCCTCTCTCCCACACATCCTCCTGCCAGGGTGCAGTTAACAGAGATATTTCCTTAAGCTTATAACCTCAAGGTGTTGTAGAGTGGGGTCTGGATCTTACACTCCTGCAGGACCTGTTATCCCAGACTCACTGCCTTCCCTCACTCCACCGGAAGCCGGCAGAACTGACCCCTTGCTCTCTCCCAAACTCATTCTCAGGCTCCAGCGAGTGGCATTTCCTAAGAGCGAAGGGCCTGGTATATGTTACCATCACATACTCCGGTCAGGGTCGGAGGGCGCTCGGGTGCCCCGGCATGGGCCTGGCCAGCTTTCTGGAAGCTCTTCGCCCGACTCTTCCGCACCCACCCTTTCCTCCCTCCCCCGCCCTCCCTCAGCCTGGGCCTCCTGTTTGGCATTCAGGAGAAACCCGCTCAAGGCTCAGCGCTCCGAGGTGGGTCCCAGCTGGTCTGGGCCCCTTCCTCTCCCAGGGGCCAGCCCCCGTTGTCAGCGCCCACGAATTGTGCGGGGGAAAGAGGCTACGTCCCGAGACCCCTGGGTTGAGTCCGCACGCCCAGTACCTCCGCGCCCCAGGCGGCGCCGGCCAAAACCCCGGGGCCCTGAAAGTTCTAAAGAACATCACGGAAACGCACGGTCGAGAGTGGAGAGAGACCGACGTTTCGGAAAACTCATTTTCCCCATTAGTTAAACAAATTTGCTTTACTCTGAGGGAACGAGAAAAGTGGAGAATAAAAGTGAGAGTGAGGGCACACTGGAATGAGGAGAAGACAGAAAGGGCACAGAGAATCACGGTTAGAGAAACCCAAGGCGACCGTGCCCGAGGACTGCAGCATTAATTCCTGATCTTGCCATTCAAAAGGGAAACAAAATCCAAAACCTGTTACCTCCTCTGCAGATCGAACTGTTCCTCAAGGCCGTGACGTCAGTAGGGGAGAAGGTGAAAGTTAAAACTACTCTTGGGAGTCCGTGGTGACATTGTTTCAGGCCCGGAAGGACCTACAGACGAATGCGCGTCTTTCGAGCAAGAGGATCTGGGGAGACAAGAGAGGCCACGTTTTACTTTCGTTTAAAAAAGAAAAGTAAACGTTTTGTTAATTCGAAATAACACGGATAAAAAGAATCCCGCCACCATGTAAAAGAAATCGAGGTGCTGCAGAAGTGAGGAGAGGAAAGAGCAAGAGGGGGCAAAGGGACGTAACTAGGGGGCGGGGAGAGGAAAGATGCGGAGCGCAAGGCACCGCGAGGGCTCCGACAAGAAGCGCAATCTCAATTCTCTCCAGGCTCCTTTTTAAAAACAAAAATCCTCATAAACCACACTTACCCTTCTTGATGCCTATCATACCAGGAATTTTTAAATGAAGGACCTCTGTTTTAAAGGCGGCAGGAGGAAAAAACCGAATCAACAGCCCCCAACTACCCCAAACGCACCGGACTTGGGAGCACACCACAACGTAGCCGGAAAGCAGCAGGAAAAATCCTCTTGGCATTTATGCCCTATGCCCTCTCCCTTCCCCACCCCCGAGTCTCCGTTCCACCCCCATCCCAACCGCGGTAATTGAATTGTCACCTGCCCCTATCCCGCCCCCGGCCACCAGGGCCACTTGGGAAACTCGGCCTTGCCAAGCGCCCCCGGCCAGTGAGAGCGGCGCAGCCAAGCCCGAGTCCCAGAAGTCGAGGGGTTACACACGGCTACGTAGAGGCGCACCGGACACGGTAATTAGGCGCAATTCACACGCTCTCGGGCGCACGGAAACTACTTGTCACGATATTTTCAACGCTCCTTCTAGCCTACTTTTCTCCACTCCTTCCCTGGCGTGCCCCTCCCCTCCCGGAGGCACTCAGTGGAGCTTTTGGAGTTTCGAATCTTTCGGACACTGTAGAATGCGGGGCTCCCCGGGCGCGGGCCCGGCCAATCAGAGCGCCGTCTGCCTCCCCTGGCCAATGGCAGACGCCACATTGTTGTCCAATTCTGTCTAATGGAGCCCTAAGGAGCAACAATAGAGCGGGCGAGCGGCTCATTGAGAGTCTGGCAGCGCCGGGCAACTGGGGCGCGGCTGTGCGCAGCGTCCCGCGCGCTCCGCGAGGGGACGCCGCGCGGCAAGGGCCGGGTCTCGGGCTCCAGCCAGCCGGTCCCTAACCGGTCCCCTGGCTCGAATTTCCGACGGAAGGGTTGGACTGCGCAGCGTTCAGAGGGGGTCCGGAAGTTCGGACATGGTGACTGAAGGAGGGTGACGTGGTCTGATAAGGGACCGGGGGCAGGGGGAAGAGGCCAAGAGCGCCGGCAACGCGAGCGGAGCTGGGAGGTGCGTGAAGCGCCAGCGGAGGAGGAGGATCCCGAGCCCGAGGCAGGTAGCTGAGGGACGCAGGGAGGGCAGGGGAGGCGGCCCGGCCTGCGGGCCCTGTTGACGAGGCCCGGGCCACGCCGGCCCTAGGGACTTCGCGGCCCCAGGGGCCTGAGGGAAGAGGCAGCTCAAAAGGGAAGGGATCTAGCATACTGGGGCGGAGACAGCAGGACTCGGTCCCGGGCTTTGGCGGGGACCCCGGGACCTAGAGGATACCGGGGCGGAAGCTCGGGGCTGGGCCTGCTTGGGCCTTCTGGGGCCGCGGCGCAGGTGAGACTCCACAGCGAGTTCCAGAGGCGACTCCCCTGCCTCGGTGCTGTCTCCTGGGCCATCCAAGTTCCAGGAACCCAATTCCGACACAAGAACTCGAGAATCTGTACCCAAGTAGGGTCCCCCGGGGATCCCAGGATAGAGAGGGCGTGTCTGACGATTCTGTCCCTAAACCCGGAGGGGAAGAGACAACAGTGTGAGAGGGTCAGGGATCTCCCTCCTGTAATACCTAACTTTTCGCAAGATTCCTCTTGCTTCCCGACTGTTCTTCCAGACTGCAGGGCTAAAAATCGTGCCACAGGTTTTACTCCACCCCCACCCACAATCTTTGCCTGCAGGGTGTTTTTGTTTTTGTTTTTTTCTCATGCACACCTCTCTCCCCCACGTGAACCCTGGGACCCAGACATCCATATCAGCTGTTTTTTTGTTGTTTTCCTCACCCCTCAAGCTAATCTTCCGGCTGTGTCTGCCTATCCAAACAAAGTTTCCTCCGCTTAATTTTCTCTTTAACTCTCCCCAAGCCTAGTCAACTCATCACACTCATTTTCCTCTCCCACTCCCTGGAGGCCCCGCACCATGAAATTTGTAGCCCCCACATTTCCACGGGTCCCGGGGGCCCCAAGGCCTAACTTTGCTACTGAGATGTTTGTTTTGTTATCTAGCCTTCCTTCTATTTCCTAGAGTTATTCTTTTCTGTTCCTGATTTTTCTAACTCTCCTGCTCCCTCCAGCATGAAAACTTCAGACCCAGCCCGCTGAACTCTATGCCTTGTGTGCTTTGATAGCTCTCTCCTTTTCACTTTTCCACAAAACTGAGCCCTTCGTCACAAATTTTTTTGTTTTGTTTTGCTCTTGGTGTCTAGTCTGACTGCTGGGTCAAAAATTTTCTCTCTAATCCGAGTCCCGTCAAACAAACATTTCTCTCTACCCATCTCGCCCCAACTAAGCTAAACTTTAGGGGGATAATATAATCCTTTTCAACTTCTCGTTATATACACCTGAACCAGTGACTTTTTAAACTTTATATGTCTTTTGTTTTGTTTTGTTTTCCAGCGGAACCACTGATTCAAACGAAATCTTAGACCCAGCGCATAAATCAGATATAAGAAGAGTTCTGGTGGGAATAGGGTGGGGGAGCTCAGCTTTACGAGGGGTCCGAAGGTACCTCCTTCCAGCAATTTGGCAACCACTAGCCAAACTTCCGCGACCAAAATTTTCCCTCCCTAAGCCTGATCTCCTGGAGGGTACACTGTAGCTTAGCACATCGTGCGCTCTTCCCGGCAAGTCTCTTCCTTCTTCCCACGGTCTTCTACGCCGGGTCCTGCCATGGAGCTACGCTCCGAGCTACCTAGCGTGCCCGGCGCAGCGACGGCGGCGGCGACAGCGACGGGGTCGCCCGTGGCATCTGTGGCGTCGGTGGCGGCGGCGGCAGCAGCGGCCGCGTCGCTACCGGTGAGCGTGGCGGGCGGCTTGCTGAGAGCGCCGCCGCTGTTGTTGCGGGCTGCGGAGAAGTACCCGCGGACCCCCAAGTGCGCGCGCTGCCGCAACCACGGCGTGGTGTCAGCGCTCAAGGGCCACAAACGCTATTGCCGCTGGAAGGACTGCCTGTGCGCCAAGTGCACGCTCATCGCCGAGCGCCAGCGCGTCATGGCGGCGCAGGTGGCGCTGCGCAGGCAACAGGCGCAGGAGGAGAACGAGGCGCGCGAGCTACAGCTGCTCTACGGCACTGCCGAGGGCCTGGCGCTCGCGGCAGCCAACGGCATTATCCCGCCGCGACCTGCCTACGAGGTCTTCGGCTCCGTGTGCGCCGCCGACGGCGGGGGGCCGGGAGCGGGAGCGCCCGCGGGGACCGGAGGCGGCGCAGCGGGCGCGGGGAGCTCAGGTGAGCGCTCGGCCTGGCCGGGAGGAAAGGGAGCAGGGCCTGGGCCTGGGGGCACGCGGCCCAGGGACTTGTCTCGGTACTGAAAGAGTAGAATCCCCTTCTCCAAACGCCCGACTGCTATGAGTTCGCTGCGCATCCAGGCCCTGATTTGGGGGCACAAACACATAAACTCTTTCTCCCCTTTCTGAAGAATTTGCCCTTTACTCCTTTCCCTCACCGCGGGCCCAAATGTAGACGCTGCAATCTTTTCTCCTCTACCCAAACGCAGCCAGATCCCGCCTTCCCTGCTCACTTGGCTAGGTCTCCCCAGCATGGAACCTTTAACCTTGGTTTTGCTCTTCGCCACTTGCCCTGGTTCCTTTTGCGCCTTCCCAACTCTCTTCAGAAATCCGGCCCTCTCCCAGTCCTCCTCCCCCTCCCCGCACCGCTTTCTCTAGGTATCAGATACCCCTCTTTCCTTTTCCCCTTGTGATTCCTTTTCTCAAGTTCCTAATGCTCCCGGACAACCGCATGCTGTGCCTGCTCCTTCTTTCTACCTTCTTTCCCCACTTGTCCCCGTTTTCTCAAGAATAGGGCTCTCCCGCTTCTCTCGATCCCCACTCTTCTAACCACTCCCCCACACTCCCCATCTGGCCGCACCCTCTTCTTCAAGATTTCTTGCCTTTTTCTGGAGAGGGAAGAAATTAAGGCTGGGGCCACTGGGGGCCATCTCAGCCCTCATCTTTGAAGTGAAGAACTTCTAAGGTTTTAATTTTGGAAAGGGTGGATTAGCTATAGTGGCTCTATTTTTGCCTGAAGAAAGGCTTGGGATTTCTTAGATACCCGAGGTGCCCTCGGAACGTAACAAGCTATATTGCCCAGCGCCAGAGGGCACCCAGGGCTGGGTTTGCTCTTGGAATGATGGGTGTGGAGTGGGGTCCTATACAGTAGGTGTATAGGTGGAAGTTATATTGTCTCCTGCTTGAACTCTGGGCTAGGCCACTTCTCCAGGTCAGGGTACGGCTTGGAAGGAGGGATAAGGGTGGAGGTGTTGGGATGCAGATATGGAAGAGGGGAACTGGACATTGAATTTACAGGGCACAGGTGGTTGGGTTCTGGTACAGAAAGAGTGCTCCCTGGAGGTAGGGGAAGTGAGGACTTAGGGGCTCAGAGAATAAGGAATGCTGGAGAAAAAAGGAGGGGGCGCCAGGGCCCAGTGAATGAGGGTTGTCGGGTTCAGAGAGAGGAAACTGGGGTCCAAAGGGCTGATGTTCTGAGGGTGCCGTCACCTGCCCGCCCGTAATCACTCCTCATATCCCTTTTTCTCCTTTCCTAGAGGCCAAGTTACAGAAGTTTGACCTGTTCCCCAAGACACTGCTTCAGACCGGTCGCCCCGGCAGCCCGCAGCCGCCACCCGGGAAGCCCTTATCACCCGACGGCGCGGACTCGGGTCCTGGGACATCGTCTCCGGAGGTGCGGCCGGGCTCGGGCTCGGAGAACGGCGACGGCGAGTCCTTCTCGGGGTCGCCCCTGGCCCGGGCCTCCAAGGAGGCAGGTGGGAGCTGCCCGGGCAGTGCAGGCCCGGGAGGCGGCGGTGAAGAGGACAGCCCTGGTTCCGCTAGCCCACTGGGCTCCGAATCCGGTTCCGAGGCCGACAAAGAAGAGGCAGAGGCCGCTCCCGCTCCAGGGCTGGGCGGGGGCCCGGGTCCACGGCAGCGGACGCCGCTGGATATCTTGACGCGCGTCTTCCCGGGCCACCGGCGAGGCGTTCTGGAGCTGGTGTTGCAGGGTTGCGGCGGCGACGTGGTGCAGGCCATCGAGCAGGTGCTGAACCACCACCGCGGGGGCTTGGCGGCCGGCCTCGGTCCCGCCGTTCTCCCCGATAAGGCCGCAGTGGGTGCAGTAGCAGCTGCGGACGACGCGTGGCCGGGCCGCGTCGACGCCGCGACAGCTGGGGGGCCCGGGCTGCCCGCGCCGCTGCAGGCAGGCCCCGCCGCTCCTCCACACCACAGACCTTTGCTGGCCGGCGCCATGGCGCCTGGGGCCCTGGGCTCGCTGAGCAGCCGCTCCGCATTCTCACCACTGCAGCCCAACGCCAGTCACTTCGGCGCCGAAGCGGGCGCCTACCCGCTGGGCGCGCCGCTGGGCCTCAGCCCCCTGCGCCTGGCCTATTCGGCGGCAGCGGCGCACAGCCGTGGCCTGGCCTTCATGGCTCCCTACTCGACCGCTGGCCTCGTCCCCACACTCGGCTTTCGCCCGCCCATGGACTACGCCTTCAGCGACCTCATGCGCGACCGCTCGGCCGCCGCGGCTGCGGTGCACAAAGAGCCCACCTACGGCGGCGGTCTGTACGGGCCTATGGTCAATGGCGCCCCCGAGAAGCAGTAGGGCCAGGGGCCCGGCAGCCGGGCCGCCTCCAGACGGGACCCCGGCCTTGATCCCACGCGCCGCCGTTCCCTCTTCACCCGGTGCGCGCTCTGCGCCCCAGCTGGGGTCCTCTCGCTCAAAGGTGATTTTCGGTTTTGTTTTGGAAGGTGGGTGGAGAGCTGAGAGAAGCGGGAGCAACCACAGATGCAGGTGTTCTCAGAGCGGGTGCGTGTTCTTGACCCTCATCTTCTACCACCTCCTCAAGTCTCCTCCAGCACTTCAAAAGGCCGGGAATTTTTGAGAATTCAGAGGCTGCGGCCGCTGCACACGCTCCTGCCTCTCCTTTTGCTGCGCTCATCCCACCCTCCCTCTCTCCAGTGGATGGCAGGATAGTCTGAGAGTCTGTCTTCTGTGTCTCCCTCTCCTTATTAAAAATTTTTTTAAAAAAAATATTCGCTCTAACAAATATAAATTTAGGATGTATAAATCTCCTGGCACTGAGTCGAGTCTTTGGGACACACATATATATATCTCGATATCAATTGTAAAAAAGAAAAGGAAACAAGTTCTAAGGTGCACTTTCCTCGTTGCGGTATTTGTCGCTCTCTTTGTTGCTTATGCCAATAAGCATGGGTTTCCTTGGTGCAGTGTGAGTTTTTATATATGTATAAATCTATATATAATCTATACATATATATATACAAGCCAGTGTATAATGTTATAAAATGGAATTCTAAGTTATTAATTGTAATCTGTAGGTGACCTCGGTATTAACGTGAAAAATATTCAAAAACAAGCAAAAAAAAAAGGACTAAATGGAAAAAAGTAGACTATGCGCGCATTGTACTTATCAGATTTTATAGATTAAATATATTGTAAACTCGGGACAAATCCTGCCCACCCGCCCCTCTTGCCTGCGGCCGGTCTCTCCCTAAGATGCCGTCAAGGTGCGCACTGAAGCAGGAACAGAGCGGCGAGTGACTGAACCAGAACCGCCTGCCCGAGAGCCCATCCCCGCCTCCCGGAACTCGCCAAACGCCCGGCCCGAAGGGACGGCAGCGGGAAACGCTGCTGCAGAGAATGGCTCACTTTGTGCTTTCCTTCGCATAGACATGAGCTAGAAATAAATGTTATTTTCTAAGAAAACAGCACGGAACCCCGTCCCGCTCCTCCGGCGGCCGGATTGAAAAGGTCTTGATTTCCCGTTCCGGCCCGCTGTGCCAGCTAGACTTCAGTCCGGCTGGTGTCCGACCTTCGGGGGTGTGGAGCCGGAAGACTCTCCGTGACGCGGGAAAGGCCCCGTCGACGGGAGTGGCGCGCGGCTCAAAACCCCGCGGGGAGCGGTGCCCCCTGCGCATCGGGGACCCCACGTCCTTCCCATTCCGGTTTTGGGCGCGCGGGCGCGACGGGTCGCCTTGCCAGTGCTCAGGATCCCTGGATCTCGGGCAGAGCCTCTTAGGGAATCCGGAAAGGCTGGCGGCCGGATTCCGGTTCTCCCCGGGCCCAGATTTGGATACAGCCGGGGTCGCACAATGAGCGCTTCCCTTCTCAAAGAGGTTTGGAACCCAGGCGATAGAGACGGCGGCTGGAGAAGGAGGGCTGCGACCATTTTCCCACAAAGGCTCGTGGCCTGGGAGTTATTTTGGGGTGGTGGGGGGTGGGGCGCTGCCCTCCCTAAGAGGCAGGGTGAACCGAAAGTGGCGGTGAGGACGCGCCTTCCAGTCAGACCTCGCTCAGCTCCCTAGTCACCTTCCCTCCTCACTCGGGGCAGAGCACAATAGTGGCTCCCCCGCCGACCTCCTCCTCCAACCTCCCCGGGCCTGCTCCGCTCCCTGCAGGGTGACTCCCGCTCTCCGGGAAACAGGGTGCTCCCTCCCCTAGTATGGGCCCGGCGACATCCCAAGGTAAACTTCTGGGGCCGGCTCGAGTTCCGCCAGGCGGTGAAACTTAATAGCAGGACAAGAAAACGGTTTAATAAAGAAGGGCTTTAATAGGGAACTAATTTGATTGAGTTGCCTAATTCCACTTTAATTGGAAAGGGGTTTGGCTGTTTGGTTATAAAGTGCGAGGGTGACGATGAGATGGAGGTGGGGGAAGAAGGAGCGAGAAAAGAAAGATGGGGGGCAACAGAGAAGGGACGAGAAAGGGAATGAAGATAGGAAGGAAAGCAGAGGAAGAGAAGAGAGAAGAGGGAAGAGTTTCTATAAAAAAAAGTAGAAGGCTAGAGAGGCGCGCGGGAGCTTTTAGAAGTGTCAACTTTCTTGCTCTTCAGGCTGCTCCCTCAAATCTCCCATGTCGTCGTCCTATTCCAGGTTTTCTGAAGCATCGGGTCCTCCCTTAGTCCAGGTTCCCGCCACCGCCTTTCTGGCCTCTGCCTTAATTCCCATCCAAGGTGAAGCTAAAATCGCTCTGGGTCTCTTGGTTTCAGGAGGGACCTATATTGAGTCTCCTGGAGCGCCTTGTTTCCTGTGGGTGCTCAAGCCAGACCCCAGGGGCTGGTTTGGGACCCCCATTACCTACTGTGGAGAACATCCGGAGCTTCACAGATTTTAAGATTAGTATTTTGGTTCATCCTCACAGCAAACCTGAAATAATCCAATGCGTTGTTTATTATTGGGTCCATTTTACCAAGAAGGAAACTGAGGTCCAGAGTGGTTTGGGGACTCTGGACTTCCTTTCCTCTGCACTGTCCAGGTGAACCTCCTCCTCTCTTGAAGTGGTCTCTTCTGGCTGAAGGTGGGGGCTCTGCTGAATCCCCCCTTCCTGTGTACTCCTGTGGCTCAGAGAGGGGAGCTCCAGGCTGCCAGCAGCTTTGGTTGAGCTCAGAATGATTGCTGAAGTGGTGAAACTTTGAGAGGGTGGCGTGGTGGGGTTCCCAGGTTCCTCTCCTCCCCGCCCCGTGGGTCTTGGTGGCCCAGACCTGGCAATGGAACCCCAGGGCTGTGAGTCACAACCTTGACACCTGGCAAAGGGCTGCACCCATGCATGCCCCTAACCCCACAGCCTCCTGCGTGGTCAGGAAGACTGAGGCTCAGTAACTGACAGTGACCGTTGTACATTTAGGTTCTGCTGAGTCAGACTCCGAGCCCAGGACGGTCAAGCCAGTTTGTTAGATGGCAGTGGTGGGAGTGGGGCTGGGCCAGCAGGGACCTCTGTTTTCTTTGAGCTTCAATGGTAGGTGGGTGGGCGCTGGGGCCTGAGCTCCACTGAGTTCCACTGGGAGGACCACTGGGATCCCAGTCATGGGAGGCAGCAGCCCCATCACTTCTTCTTTGTGGGGAGCAGAAGGTGAGGTGGGAGTTTCCTCCTGACCTCTACAGTCCATATTTATTCCCAAACTTTCCTCTTAGTCTGTTGGAGTTGTGCCTGGCCTGGGTACTGGGGAAGACCTGGGCCTAGATGGCCATGTGGGAGTTTGGACTGTTGAAGTCATTAAAACTTACCCTCCTCCTCCACCTCTTCCTCCTCCTTTTTCTTCACAACAGCAGCAACTACACATTACTGAGTACCTACCATGTACCAGGTCCTGTACACAGCTCATTCCATATAGGATCCTGCTCAGGATGAAAAAAAGCCAAGAGCTGGGATCCAGGCTCTGTTTCTGGCTGAGTTTATTCATTCACAGATTACTTCAGGCAGTAAATGTTTATTAACTACTTACTTCATGCCAAACCCAGTTCTAGGAGCTTGGGATACACAAGTGTGCAAGACAGGCACCATCCCTACACTTTACAACCTCACAGTCTGTGTGTGTTGGGGGGGTGGACAGAAGCAACTAAATAGGCAAGTAGGATGCACTGACCAGGACCCCAGGGCTCAGGGAGATCTGCCCAGGGAAAAGTGAGTTAGGACACTTCACCTCAGGTTCCTCCTCAATGAAATGGGGCTGATAGTGACTGTCTGTCTAGATGCTGTGAGGATTGATTGAGAGCATGTGTAAAACACGTTTAGCTCAGTGCCCAACTGACCAGGCAGTTATTATAATCTTAGATACTCTGGTGTGGGAATTGTCTCATTTCATAGAGGAGCAAACAGTTCAGAGGGATTGAGTGACTGGAGCAAATTTCCCTTATAAATCCTCTACAATGTCACAGGTTATGGGAGGTGTCCTGGTGAGCAACAGGCCACAGTGAAGGATCATCAGATGGGAGAGTGTGGGTTCTGGAGATGCTTCTGAGGGAAGGTGAGGCTGCAGCTGAGTCCTGAGGACATTGGTGAGAGGCAGCATTAGTAATCCATGGCATGAAGTTGGTGAGGGAAGAGCAGGTGGAGAAGGAGGAAGTGGGGACAGGTTGTGATGTTGGACAGAAGTCAGAGGTCAGAACAAGGGGAACCTCAAGCTCCAGGGTACCGGCCTGGGTTTCAGAGTGAGGGCACTGGGGGCCAGTAACAGCTTGCCTGGTAAAACTTGCATTTGGACTGGATACATTGTTAGAGGAGGGCCAAACCCATTTAAGGAGGAGTTGTGTAAGATGGTAGCACCAAAAATGACCAGTGGGAGCAGGGACAGGGAGAGAAAAGGTTGACTTCAAGAACTACTGGGAGCCAGACCCTCCACTCTTGATCTAATGGATGCTGGGGGTAGTAAACCTGGAGGAGGGCTCATGGATAATTCCCAGGTGTCTGGTTTTCTTGACTCTTTGTAGGTGACAGAGCTCAGGACCCCTGGATCAGAGACAAGATTGGAAGGTGGGGAAAAATTTCAGCGCTCAACAAATAGAATTTGAAGAACTTATGGGGCTTCTAGATGTGGACACCAAATGGTAGAATGAGTCAGCACGTGGGTGGTAGCAGGGCCTTGGGAGAGATCAAGTGGCTCAACCCTTTCTCTACACTGGACATAAGACTGCTTTAATGGAGGCCATGGGCCTGGGGGTGGGCAGTTGTTGAGACCCCAGATGCTGGAATTCTGCCTCTCATCTTTCCAGTTCATTCCAAGAAGGCTGGTCTCTGAAAATCATTCTCTTAAAATTTTGTAGCCTGTGAAGATTATTGTCCTGGATCAGGACCCTGGGCAGCAGGTCCCTGCTTTTACTGTGACACCAGTGAAGCTTAAACTTCAGGGATCCCCACCCATACAGGTGGTCCCTCTCAAACTTTCCTTGCTCTCTAGTCCCTGAAGATTTAGCTTCAGTGGCTTTCTGCCCCTCTCCCGACTTGTCCATCCCCACCTCACCATGCTCACTGAGCTCCGAGTCCCCTAATAGACCATGAACTTTCCTGCATCTTTGCCCATGCAAGTCCCTCTGCTTGGAAAGCCCTACCTTTTTCTTCTACTTTGAAGATCATCCTCACTTGCCCCAAGGCCCAGTGACACCAACGGAACTCAAAGTTCAAGACTGGTCACTTAGAGAGGAAGATGGTAGTGGAGTAGGAGGACTCTAGGCTCACCTCTTCCCACAAATACAAGACAACTATCCTAAATACCTCAGAAATTGATCTGAGGACTCGTAGAACAAACTCCACAACCAAAGGCAGAGAAGAGGCCACATCAAAGAGGGTAGGAATTGTAGAGACACAACTTGGGAGAGAAAGGGATAGTGGCCGTTACCATGGGGAGGGAGCCATGGTCACAGAGAAGGGCAAGAGACAAACTAGCACACAGGGGAGTACATGGGGAAAACAAATCCCCATAGCAATTGGCTTGGAAAGCAACAGGGCCTGAATTTCGTGAGTTCTTGCAACCAGCAGGGCTTAAAGCCTGGAGTTTTAAAGGTCAGTGTGCTTGGCTCTGGGAGAGCTTGGAGGACATTAGGGCTGCTCTTGGAGAAAAGGCAGAGCAAACAGCCTGTGGACATACAGCCTGGAAACAGTGATCTCAAGAATGCCTGAAAAACACAGTGGGGAAGTTAGTTGCTCATCTTAGAGCACATCCTGAAGTGGTAGTTTTCATGAAAAGACCCCTCCAGGAACAGAGGAACTAGATGGCACCACTTCCCTCCCCTGCTCATCAGCATAAACACAGAGCAGTGCCAACACTCCATACCTAACTTGCTTACACCAAACACCACACTCCATGCTTCAGAAGAACCACCCTTCTCAGTTGTACTTACCTCCGTTCCAGCATGGCATGGCCCCCTCACCCAGAAGACCAGCCCAAACCCCTGACTACACCACTTCTACTGACCTGGAAGTTTTGCGAGGCCTT